CCGAGGAAGCTAGAGGCCGTGCAGAGTTGTCCCAGGCCGTCCTCAGCTACTGAGATTCGCAGTTTCCTTGGCTTGGCGGGTTACTATCGTCGTTTCGTGGAGGGATTTTCATCGATTGTTGCCCCTATGACTAGATTGACCCAGAAGGGTGCCCCATTTCAGTGGACAGAGGAGTGTGAGGCGAGCTTTCAGAAGCTCAAGACAGCTTTGACTACAGCCCCTATCTTGTTGTTTCCTACCGGTTCGAGGTCTTATACTGTCTATTGTGACGCCTCGAGAGTTGGCCTTGGAGCAGTGTTGATGCAGGACGGTAGGGTGATTGCCTATGCGTCCAAACAGTTGAAGGTACATGAAAAGAATTGCCCTGTCCACGACCTTGAGTTAGCTGCCATTGTTCATGCCTTGAAGATCTGGCGTCATTATTTATATGGAGTGCCTTGCGAGATCTATACTGATCATCGGAGTTTGCAGCAGTTGCTCAAGCAAAAGGATCTCAATATGCGTCAGAGGAGGTGGTTAGAGCTGCTGAAGGATTATGACATCACTATCCTATATCACCCGGGCAAAGGCCAATGTGGTGGCAGATGCCTTGAGTCGCCGGGCGGAGAGTTTGGGGAGTTTGGCATATTTACCAGCTTCAGAGAGGCCTATGGCGATGGATGTTCAGGCCTTAGCCAGCCAGTTCGTGAGATTGGATCTTTCGGAGCCCAGTCGAGTTCTAGCTTGTGTGGTTTCCCGATCCTTCTTAGTTGATCGTATCAGGGAGCGGCAGTATGATGACCCTCATTTGCTTGTCCTTCGGGACAAGGTTCAGCGTGGTGATGCCAGGGATTTGACCATTTGAGATGATGGAGTAATGAGGATGCAGGGCCGGATTTGTGTGCCCAATGTTGATGGTCTTCGAGAGTTGATTCTAGCAGAGGCCCATAGTTCGCGGTATTCCATCCATCTCGGTGCCGCGAAGATGTATCAGGACCTGAGGCAGCACTACTGGTGGAGGCGGATGAAGAAGGATATAGTTGGTTATGTGTCTAGATGCCTCAACTGCCAGCAGGTGAAATATGAGCACCAGCGCCCGGGTGGGTTGCTTCAGCAGATAGAGATTCCGGAGTGGAAGTGGGAGCGCATCACCATGGGTTTCGCGTCGGGACTCCCACGGACCTTGAAGAAGTTTGATGCCATTTGGGTCATTATGGATCGGCTGACCAAGTCCGCTCATTTCATCCCTGTGTGTACCACTTATTCATCGGAGCGGTTGGCGGAGATTTATATCCGGGAGATTGTCCGTCTGCATGGTATTCCAGTTTCTATTATTTCGGACAGAGGTACCCAGTTCACATCGCGGTTCTGGAGAGCCGTGCAGCAGGAGTTAGGCACCTGGGTGGAGTTGAGCACAACATTTTACCCCCAGACGGACGGACAGTCCGAGCGCACTATTCAGATTCTTGAGGATATGCTCCGTGCGTGTGTGATTGAGTTTGGAGGGTCTTGGGATCATTTCTTGCCACTGGCGGAGTTTGCTTACAACAATAATTATCAGTCTAGCATTCAGATGGCACCGTATGAGGCTTTATATGGTAGGAGGTGTAGATCTCCGGTGGGTTGGTTTGAGCCGGGTGAGGCCAGGCTATTGGGCACAGAGTTGGTTCAGGATGCATTGGAGAAGGTTAAGACGATTCAGGATAGACTCCGTACAGCCCAGTCCAGACAAAAGAGTTACGCGGACAGGAAGGTTCGTGATGTTTCATATATGGTTGGTGAGCGGGTTCTGCTTCGGGTTTCGCCTATGAAAGGCGTCATGAGGTTTGGGAAGAAAGGAAAGTTGAGTCCGAGGTTTATTGGCCCTTTTGAGATCTTGCGGTGAGTTGGGGAGGTTGCCTATGAGCTTGCCTTGCCTCCCAGTTTGGCCGGAGTTCATCCGGTATTTCATGTTTCGATGCTCCGGAGGTATCACGGTGATCCATCTCACGTGTTGGATTTCAGTTCAGTCCAGTTGGACAAGGATCTATCCTATGTTAAGGAGCCAATGGCTATATTGGACAGACAGATCAGAAAGTTGAGGTTAAAGAACATTGCTTCAGTGGCGGGGTCAGCCGGCCGAGGAGGCGACCTGGGAGACCGAGCGGGATATGCGCAGCCAGTACCCTCACCTTTTCACTACTTCAGGTATGTTCTCTATGCTCGTTCGAGGACGAACGAATGTTTAAGTGTAGGAGGATGTGACGACCCGGCCGGTCGTCTTAAGAATTAACGCCCCGATCCCCCATTAACTGCTTCCCCTAAGTTCATTTCTACTATTTTGGTTTGCCAGGACGTTCGGTGTTGAGTTTCGAAGAGTTTTGGGTTACTTCGTCCCTAAATGAGAGCTTAAGTGTGGAAAAGTGGTCCGTAGTCGGAACAGTGTGAAAACGACCTCGGAATGAAAATCCGATGGTTCCGTTAGCTCCGTTAGGTGATTTCGGGGTTGGGTGCGTGTTCGGAATGTATTTTTGAGGTCCGTAGCTAATTTAGGCTTGAAATGCCGAAGTTTGAATTTTTGAAGTTTCCGGCCCGATAGCGAGTTTTTGATCCGAGGGTCGGATTGGAATTCCGAAAGTTGCAGTAGCTCCGTCATGTCATTTGGGATGTGTGTGCAAAATTTCAAGTCATTCGGACGTGTTTCGGTTAGGTTTTTGATCGAAAATGTATTTTGATGGAATTTGAAGTTCTTAGGCTCAAATCATTGATTAAATTCGAGTTTCCGGAATGATGATATGGGATATGTCCGTAGGTTTGGTTGAGGTCCCGGGGGCCTCGGGTGTGTTTCGGATGCTCAACGGAGCATTTTGGAGTTTGGAAATGTTGCAGAAAATCCTTCAGCTGTGCAGGTCCCAAATCCTTCTTCGCGTTCGCGGTACCTTCCTCGCGTTCGCGTAGCTTTGGTCTTCTTCCTCTTCGCGTTCGCATTATTGCCTCGCGTTCGCATAGTGTAATTTGGAGCTGAAGACTGTGCCTAATCTTTCCTCTTCGCGTTCGCGTACGCCTCTTCGCGTTCGCGTACCTTTGCAAAGCCACCCTTCGCGTTCGCGTACAGTGCCACGCGTTCGCGAAGGACAATTCTGAGCCATCGTATTTTTCTCTTCCGCGTTCGCGGGCCTGCTTCCGCGTTGCGAAGCATAAATTGAGCAGCCTTCATTTTTCTTCTTCGCGAACGCGAGACATACTCAAGCTAGAGAGCTCGGATTTGGGAGAGATTTCGAGAGTTTTTCAGAGGCATCGATTAGGTAACAATTCTCTACTCTCTTATGCTTAAAACCCACTAATCTAATCATGATTTCCTTCTTATTTTCGGATTTTTGGAATGAAAAATGGGTCAAACTTCTTAGACCTAACTTTTGGATTTTGAGTGGGCATTTGACCTCCGATTTGGGAGATTTTTATATGGTTAGACTCGTGAGAGTACGAGGGTTCTGAAAATGTGAAAATTATTCGATTCTGAGACGTTGGCCTGAGGGGCGTTTTGGTCATTTTACCTATTTTCGCGCCTTAGCTTTAAATTTAATAGTGGAATCAGTTGTTTGCAATATTACTTACGATATGTAATTGAATTGAATAGATTTGGGTCATTTGGAGTCGGATACTCGTGGCAAAAGTGTGATTTCGAGGTGATTTTGGTGCCGATTCGAGGTAAGTGGCTTGTCTAACCTTGTGTGGGGGACTTTTCCCCTTAGGATTGTTACTTGATATCTGAGTGCCTTGTACTGAAGTGACGGGCGCGTACTTGAGCCGATTGATGGAAAATCCGGTTTTTACTTAAGTTATTGAGATTTTGTTTCTTTCTTACTTGCCTTATTCTACTTGAAATTATAACTTGTGCTAGATTAGGAAAAACATGTTTAGTTGACTTGATTGCCTAATTGCTTGAGTTGTTTTGACTGTTCTACGTGAAGCATGCTAGGCTAGTTCTATCTGTGTTGTATTTTGTACTTCATTCCTTGGTATATTTCTGGCTGTGGTTGCGCATTTACATTGGGACTACGGATGTGGGATTCCGGTAGCTCCCCCCCCCCCTGTTTGTTTACTTTGGGACTACGGGTTCGATTCCCGGTAGATCCCCCTACACTTTTACTTTGGGACTGCAGGTTAGATTCCCGATAGATCCCCATACATATTGATGGTTGGACTACGGGACGGTATCCCGGGAGATCCTTCGGTTTGGCACATGAGTTGGACTACGGGACGGTATCCCGGGAGATCCACTGGACAGTTGAGGAAGGGCTACAGGACGCTATCCTGGGAGACCCTCATTGTTATTCTTGGTATTGAGCTGTAGTCATTCTGTGCCCATTTTGTTCTTTGTGTAGTTGTTATTATTTCGTTAGCATGTCTTATCTCACTGCTGTACTCATTATTTCTGTCAAATTTTCATACTGTTAATTAATATTATATTTTACCTCAGTAGGGCCCTGACCTTCCTCGTCATTACCCAACCGAGGTTAGGCTTGGCACTTACTGAGTACCGCTGTGGTGTACTCATGCCTTTCCTGCGCATGTTTTTCATGTGAAGATCCAGGTACCTCTTCTCAGGCGCACTATCCTTGAGGCGAGGAGATACACGGAGACTTCGAGGTATATTTGCAGCGTCCGCAGATCGAAGAGTCTTCTTCCTTATTCTAGTTGTAGAGTTGTTATCCTATCATACTTTTGATGTAGATATTCTGGAGATTAGAGTACTTATGGTAATTCTATTAGCATGTGTTTCCCGTGAGTTTCCGGGTTTTAGGATTGAGTTGTAGACTTCCGCATACTTTTAGAGTTGTATAGGCCGGGCGGCCTTATATTCAGTTGTTATTTTTCATATGTTCAGTTTTAATTGATTATTTCTCAAGTTAAAAGGTTATTTCTGCACTGTTAGGCTTACCTAGTTCTAGGAACTAGGTGCCATCACGACATGTTCATGGAGGGTGAACGGGGGTCGTGACAAAAGAAGACAAGTACTTTGCAAGAATGGGAAAAAATGTCATCTCTGTTATGAAATAGAGACTTTCTCTCTTATTGACAAGAAATCTATCAAGGTTGAAAATGTTATGGATTTTAGTTGGTCGCCAGCAGATCCAATTCTTGCACTTTTTGTTCCTGAATGCGAAAATCAACCTGCCAGGGTTTGTGCTAAAACTTTTATGCAAGTCATCACTAATTTGGAGGAATTACTTGTATTTGCATTTGAATTAAACCTGTATTAAATTGACAGGTCAGTCTTGCGCAAATCCCAAGCAAAGAGGAGTTGAGGCAGAAGAATCTCTTCAGCGTTAGTGATTGCAAAATGTATTGGCAAAGCAATGGAGACTACCTTGCTGTCAAAGTTGACCGGTACACGAAGACTAAGAAAAACACTTACACTGGTTTTGAGCTGTTCAGAATCAAAGAACGGGACATTCCGATTGAGGTTTTGGAGCTTGACAACAAGAACGACAAAATCATTGCATTTGCCTGGGAGCCAAAGGGTCACAGATTTGCTGTTATCCATGGCGACAACCCAAGGCCAGAGATCAGTTTCTACTCTGTGCGGTCTGGCACTAAAACGAGCCGTGTTTCAAAGCTGACAACTCTTAAGGGAAAGCAGGCTAATGCTCTCTACTGGTCACCTGGAGGCCGCTTCCTTATTTTGGCTGGACTGAAAGGTTTCAATGGGCAGTTGGAATTCTTTGATGTTGATGAGCTTGAAACCATGGCATCTGCTGAGCATTTTATGGCCACAGATGTTGAATGGGATCCTACTGGAAGGTATTGAATTTTGCTCTTTCATTAGTTTTGCCCTGAGACACCTTCCTATTTGGGTTCTTATACTTTTGCTTTATTGGGCATTTCAAGGTATGTAGCAACATCTGTTACCTCAGTTCATGAGATGGAAAATGGATTCAACATTTGGTCTTTCAATGGAAAGCTGTTGTATAGGATACTTAAGGATCATTTCCTCCAGGTAACAGTCTTTCCATACATTGTTCGCTGTACTTGTTCCTACTTTGGCCTATAAGCGACTTGGTCACACTGCTCGAATTATTCTGCCTCCTATATGTCTATGTTTTGCAATTATAATAAATAAAGTACAAGGATAAACATCCTAAATTTTGGACTATATTTATTGCAAATATATTTTCTTGGACGAACAACTATATGTTGTACTTTCAAGAGGAATATCAATATCGACAATAAGAGTTCCGGTTATGACACAGCAACCAAAGCATTAGAAGAAAACATACACACAAAATATCATCTACAAAAAAATGTTCGGTAAAATACCATCAAATTAAATAATGTTAAACTATAACACATAGTTATCTAACTAATATGATTAAATTGGTCGTTTGTGTAAGTTATGATGATGTCCTTTTATCTTGAATTCACGTATTATGCTAATATAATAATATTTTTCGACTTTCAAATGATTAAAATGGTTAAACCATCACGTGCCATTATTAACGTGCAAGGTACATTCGTAAATAATACTTCTTCAAAAAAAAGATCCAATGGGAGAGTCCTCCCTAACCAAACCATTTAACCGACCCATTAAAGAGACCCATTCACCCGGGAAAAAAAAGAGAACAGCATAACCCCAATAAGAGCTACAGAAAAACCCTACCTTTCCACTCTTCGTATGCGTGCACATTGCCTCTATCGCTAAGCTCACACTTCTGCTTTCAGCTTCAAAGGTGGATATCTCTCTCCTATACGCACCATTCCATATAGAACACAGAAAGAAAGCTAAACAAAGAGAAGAGAGTTCCAATCATGGTGGACGTTACGTCTATGGGAGAAATCACAGCCATAGCCGCTAGGATTGGTGTGGATCGTTCCCAAATCGATCTTGACTCTATTCATGTTCCTCCTGGTGAAGATTGTGGCATACCCAGGTGTTAAATCTTGACTTTCCCTTTTTTTTTTTTTGTGTTCCTGCATTTTTATGATTTATATATGCGCTTTTTATGTGGTGGTGCTTATGGGTTTCCTTTCTTTGCTGTAAAGTCTGGGTCTTTTTAATTTTTTTTGAGTTTGAGTTTATTGTTTTGGTTTATATGCTTTGAAGATTAGAAATTTCTAGTGTTTTGTTGGGTTTTTGAGTTTGTTGGTTTTATTTTATGTTTATATTCAGTTCAATATGTTAAATTTTTTATGGACGTATATGTCTGGGCTTCTTTTCAATGATGTGAAGTTTGGATTTTGCCAATGTTCTTCTATTGAGTGTGCAAGGCCTGTTAATATGTTGTGAAGATTAGACTTTTAGTGTTTTCTTGGGTTTTGCGTACTCATTACCCTCCCAGACCTCACTTGTGCTATTTCACTGGGTTGTTGTTGTTGTTGGATTTTGAATATATTGTGTTTTGCATTTGCGAGTCTTGAATATGTTGAGTTATAGATCCATTACCATTTAAAAAACCTTGATTTATATATGGATTTTATGTGTTTTTGCATTCTCCTTGAGTTCTGTTCATATGCTGATAAGATATAGTTTTTAGCGTCTCTATTGGGGATTTGATGTCTCCATTTGTATTTTCAGACGCTGGGTAATACCTTAATTTATATATGAATTTTTATGTGATTCTTCTTGGTTTCATTTTTTTGTTTGAAGTTTAGGCTCTTTTGGTTTGTAATTGTGGTTTTGTTTGAAGTTTAGGTTCTTTTGGTTTGTAATTGTGGTTTTGGTTCATACCAATAAAGAAAGGGTTTGTAGAGTTTAAATTCTCTTTATATACCATGAAAATGGGTTTTTGTAGTTTTTCCTTTGGTTTTGAATTTCTATGTTATTTGGATATTATCAGTGATGATGATGACTTAATGGAGGAGGACCCCTTGGAGTTTGATACTGGTTTTGGGAACATACTGGTGGTGGACAATCTTCCTGTGGTGCCTAAAGAGAAATTTGAGAAGTTGGAAGGAGTAGTTCGGAAAATTTACAGCCAACTTGGTGTTATTAAGGAGGATGGTCTCTGGATGCCTGTTGATCCTGTGACTCAGAAACCCTTGGGTACTGCTTCATCGAGTATAATACTCCTCAGGTACTCCATTTTTTCTCCTTAGCAGCTACAATGTATCTCATTTCTTTAGACAATGCGTGAGACCTGTAACTGAATTGTGGAAGATGTTAACCAGTGTCATGTTGCTATGTTTTTCTGCTTTAGGAAGCTGAGCTGAGTAAGGAGAAGACACATGGATACAAGCTAGATAGGTCGCATATATTTGTTGTTAACATGTTTGACGACATTGAGAAATTCCTGAAAGTTCCCGATGAGTGGGCTCCACCAGAGATCAAGCCTTATGTTCCAGGGGTTAGGCTCTTCATCAGCTGTCTGTTTCTCCGGCGAGCGCTATGTGTCTTAAATATTAGTTTTTCAATCATCTGCTAACATTGAGATGTTTGTAACCTGGCAGGAGAATCTGCAACAGTGGCTTGCTGATGAGAAAGCTAGAGACCAGTTTGTGATTCGGGCAGGCAATGACACAGAGGTCCTCTGGAATGATGCAAGACAGTTGAAGCCTGAGCTTGTTTACAAACGTTCTGTAAGTGAACTTATTTCCTCTTTGTGCTCATTTAGTTATCCATTCATGGGATTTTTTTGGTATTGTTAAGTGTCTCATATTTTCAGAATTCAAAATGGGTCTTGTACATAAACTTTCTTTAAAAGATATTTTTTTCTTTTTTTAAGATGGGTAATTACTAAATTTTTGCTAACGATGTCTCTTCGAGTGCAGTTCTAGACTGAGAGTTTTGTTCAATGGTCCCCTCCGGAAACGTATTTGGCAACTGTTCACAGACAAGGTGCTGCAATTTGGGGTGGTGCCACCACTTTCAACCGTCTGATGCGCTATGCACATCCACATGTTAGTTTCTATTTATTTTCTAGTGAACCTTTGCAGGTGTTTTGTGACTTACCTCTGCTGGCTTTAAATTCAGGTAAAGCTGATTGATTTCTCCCCTGGTGAAAGATATCTGGTGACATACAGCAGCCACGAACCAAGTAACCCCCGTGACACTCATGTAAGTCTGAGCTTTATTGTTTTTTGTGTATCTGATTGTGGCCATACTGGATTGCCTCTAATATAGATTTTTTTCAGAGGGTTGTGCTAAATATTTTTGATGTGAGAACTGGGAAAGTGATGAGAGATTTCAAGGGAAGTGCCGATGAATTTGCAGTTGGAGGAACTGGAGGTGTTACTGGGTGTGTCGTGGCCAGTTTTTAGGTGAGTATTTGATTCCTAGTTGTAAGAGACGTCTTTCTATCCTTCTCTGCTACCTGTTAGGTAAAGTTACTACCTAACATTTGCTAAACT